CAGTACCTGGGTGGATTCTGCATCGGAGGAAACTCGCCCACTCGGGGCACAGCGCCGGAAAAAGCAAAAAAGATGTAAACGAATACCTCCATGCTCTCTTGACGTGGAATATGGTTTTTTCCTCGCGACGGGACTGTTGTTCCGTTACATTCCACTGATAATCTCTTTACAATATCACGCCTCATTCCACCAAGCCTCCTGTGTATTAGTAGTTTTCCCCTATAGGTTCGATGTTGATTTACGCGCTCATGGCGGTGTTGCTACATTGGCTCCCGATTCTCGACTGTCTACTGCGGTTATTCAGACCGACTTTCTAGCAGTGTTTGCGTGGAGGAGTATCTCCCATTCCTCTCTCTCACTAACATTTACGTTCCTCCAGGACAGAGTGTATCCGCCGATGGACTTTTGAACTTGCCAGCGGATTGCCTTGGACGCGTTTTTTCCGCCCTTACCGTTCTTCAGTCATGCATGTAAATGGGCTCAGTCCTCTTTGGGGCTCACGTCGCACTTGTTCGAGAGGTGACATATTGGCATTGGTAATAGACACCTCGAACTTAGTTAATATTAATTCAGGTGAACCAGAAAGATCCATAAAAGATCGTCGACCACATTGATGTGTGGTGTACAACGTGCTGATCGTGACTGGCTAAAATTTCAAGCGAATGTCAATCTCTCAAAGGGCGACTTTCACAATGTAGACGAAATGGTAGCAGATTTTAACAGTACTACAAGCTGTGAATACCACAAATCGACCGGTAAACCACGACATCCGTTTGTCCCGTGGTGGAACTCGAACTGCTCAAGAGCGTTAATGACCGTAAAAAGGGGCTGGCACGACTGAAACACTATCCAACCGCAGATAACTTACTTGAATACCAGGGGTGTAGAGCAAAGGCGGAGAGAACTCTTTAGAAACCAAAAATTTACCATGGAAGAAAGGGAAGAAAGTATGTCAAGTCGTCTGTAGTTGGCAATTTCCTTTCTCTCCTAAACGCGCTGTGCCATACCTGGACGGGATGGATGTTTCTTTCTATTCGCGGTAAGCCGTGTCAGGACGGAAGGTGCTTTTACCCGTCTTTCCTCCTTTGCTGTGTGCAGACGTCGGCCGCTTGGCGATGCCATGCACAGACGCTGGGAGTGTGTTACGGCGACTTTTCGGTTTCTTTTCTTGACGATAAACTTCTTCCATAATTAAATCAGTTTTTAAAACTGGACCTTGAATTAATGTATTTGAAAAACTGAATTTTTAAAAACTGTAAATGCAAATTTCCAATTCTTTTGGCTTTGGGAAGGAAAGGTTTCATGTGTGTAAATGGTGTCGTAGGGAAAACG